AGATCCCAATGTTATCATATTAAGAGTAAATTGTCCAGAAAAGTAGCAGGATGCAAAATACACATTCGGAAATAAGATGCATTTTTATACACAGATAATAAACTACCAGAAGGAGACATTAAGAAAACAATTGCATTTAAAAAATACCCAGGAGCCCAGCCAGTGTGGCTCGGTGGATTGAGCGTCACACCATGGACTGGGAGGTCCCAGTGTGATTCCTGGTCAGGGTACATGCCCAGATTTCGGGTTCAAACCCCAAGAGGGGGCATGCAGGAGGCAGCCAATTAATGTTTCTCTCTCACATTGATTTTTCTATTTCTCTCTCCCTTCCTCTCTTTCAAACAATAAAATGTATTTTTAAAAATATTTAGCAATAAATTTAACCAAGGAGGTAAAAGACCTGTTCTAGAAATATTGTAAGACGCTGAAGAGAGAAATTAAAGAAGAAATAAATAAATAAAAGCATATATCATACTCAAAGCTAGAAAGAATTGACATCATTAAAATGTCCATGCTACTCAAAACAACCTGTAGGTTCAATAAAATCCCTGTCAAAATACCAATGGCCTTTTTCACAGAGCTAGAACAAATAATCCAAAAATGTACATGGAACCAAAAAAGACCCAAGATAGCCACAGCAATCTTTAAAAAGAACGAAATAAAAGATGTCATACTACCTGATATCAAACTATACTACAAGGCCACAGTAATCAAAACAGCATGGCTCTGGTATAAAATCAGAAATATAGATAAGTGGAGCAGAATAGAGAGCCCAGAAATAATCCATGCCTTTATGGTCAATATTTAACAAAGGAGGCAAGAACATACAACCTGTAAAGACAGTCTATTCTGTGAATGGTATTGGGAAAATTGGACAGATACATACAAAAAATGAAACTAGACCACCTTTTTACACCATACACAAGAATAAACTCAAATGAATTAAATACTTAAATGTTAGACTCAAAACAATAAAAATCCTAGATAAAAACAAAGGTAGTAAAATCTCAGATATTTCTCACAGCAATGTTTTTTCTGATAAATCTCCTAGGGCAAGGGAAACAAAAGAAAAAATAAGGAAATGAGACTATATCAAACTAAAAAAGTGTTTGCACGGGAAAGGAAACCATCAACAAAAAAAAAAGACAACCTAATGATAGAAGAAGATAATTACCAATGGTACATATGATAAGGGGTTAATATCCACATTTATAAAAAACTCATATAAGTCAACATCAGGAAGAAAATCCCATTAAAAATGAGCAGAGGACCAGAATAGACACTTCTCCAAAGAGGACACACAGACGGCCAACAGACATATGAAAAGATGCTCAATGTCACTAATAATGACAGTCTATTAGTGATAATAATGTCACTAATAATCAGAGAAATGCAAATTGAAACCACAATGAGATATCTCCTCACACCTGTCAGAATGGCTGTCATCAATAAATCAACAAACAAGTGTTGCCAAGGATGTAGAGAAAAGGGTACTTGAGTGCACTGTAGGTGGGAATACAGATTGGTGCAACTATTGTAGAAAACAATATGGAGATTCTTCAGAACATTAAAAATAAAGTACCTTATGACCCAGTGATTCTACTTCTGGGTATATATCCCAAGAAATCCAAAACACTAATTCAAAAAGATAGATAGATAGATAGATAGATAGATAGATAGATAGATAGATAATCTCCCTATGTTCATTGCAGTGTTATTTAAAATAGCTAAGATATGAGGAAAAAAACCAAATGCCCATCAGTAGATGAGTGAATAAAGAAGTTGTGGTACATATATACAATGGAATATTACTTGGCCATAAAAATTGAAATATTACCATTTGCAACAACATGGATAGACCCAGAAGGTATTATGCTAAGTGAAGTCAGAGAAAGACAAATACCATATGATTTCACTTATACTATGTGGAAACCAAAGAACAAAATCAATGAACAAACAGACTCATAGATGCAGAGGACAATGTTATGGTTGCCAGTAGGAAGTGGGTTTGTGTGGTTGGGTAAGAAAGGTGAAGGGAGTAAAAAGTATAATTGGTAGTTACAAAATAATTGTGGGAATGTCAAGTGCAGCATGGGGAATACAGTCAATAATGTTAGATAGGACAAGGGTCTCAAGGTCTAAGCAGTTTCAAATGTTGTTTCTTGCTCAATATTAAAATATAGCCCAGTATTTTGCAGATGCAGCAGTAACAAGATGAGCAGACAGGAACTCAAATGGATGAGTGTGGTCACCTGCAGAGAAGAAATCAACATGTACATAAGCAATGACTAAGCCTCCCTTTGAGGAAGCAGAACAATGGGTAGGAATCCTGTCTCCTTTAGTTGCTGAAAGTAAATAAAACTACCTTGCAACAACCAGGTCTCACATCTGAGTAGACAACCCAAGTGGAGAACCCCTTGAATTCAGTAAAAATAATATTGTAGTAACTATGGAGTGTGCCAAGTGGGTACTTGAAATACCCAGGGGAGTACTTCATAAATTGTACAATTGCCTAAATGGGCCGTATATCTGATAATACTGAATATCGGACTTCCGGTCAAGATGGCGGCGTAGGTAAACGCGGTATCACGTCCTCCCACAACCACATCAAAGTTCCAAATAAACTACAGAAGAACCATCATTCAAAACCGCCTGAAATCAAGCTGAATGGAAGTCGTACAACTACGGAATTAAAGCAGCAGCCACATCCAGACTGGTAGGAGGGGCGGCGGCATGACAGGCTGGTCCCACACCCAAGGGTGGCGGATAAAATCAGGAGGCTCCCGTGGCTGGGAAGGTCCTTCCTGAGGACTGAGGGGTCCCCGTCCCACACCAGGTGCCCCCCTCAGGGTTCCAGTGCCAGGAAGAGAATCCCCATAACTTCTGGCTGGAAAAACCAGCGGGAACTGAGGCTCAGGGAGGCTGAAGTGGCTGGAGCCCCAGGCAGCTCCTTAAAGGGCCCGCACACGGACTTATCAGACTCACTCCCTCTAAGCTTGGAGGGGAGGCAGCTCGAGGGGCGCCAGAGACACACAGGGAAGAACTGAGCTGTTTGGCATTGGAGCGAGGGCTGGAGAGGGGGCTTTCTCTGGGACAAACGTACTGTGAGAGGCCTTTGTTCCTTTGGTGAGCCCTTCCCGGGGGCGGCAGACAGTTTCCATATCTGGGCCTCCAGCAACCTGGCTCACACTGGTAGCCCCGCCCTACCCAACTTTCAAGCCCACCCAAGCTGTTGCCACTTGCTTAACCATAGGATTGGCCTGACTTGGATCTGGCTTCAGGTTTTTCCTAAATTCTTTCAAACAAACAGCATCTGGTCTCAGCTAGCCCCATACCTCTCATTAAGTAATACACTGAAACAAACACAGGGAGGCAGCCAAAATGAGGAGACAAAGAAACAGGTCCCAAATGAAAGAACAGAACAAAACCCCAAGAAAAGAACTAAGCAAAATGGAGATAAGCAACCTAACAGATACTGAGTTCAAAATACTGCTTATAAGGATGCTCAATGAACTTAGTGAGAACCTCAGTGAACTTAGAGAGGGCCTCAAGAGCATAAAAATGGACCAGTTAGAAATCATGGATGCATAGTTAGAAATGAAGGAGGCATTAACTGAAATAAAGAATAATTTACACAGCTTCAATAATAGAGTACGTAAATCCAAGGAGCAAACCATCGATTTGGAATATAAGGAAGCAAAAAATGCCCAGTCAGAACAGCAAAAAGAAAAAGAATCCAAAAAAATGAGGATAGTGTAAGGAGCCTCTGGGACAACTTCAGGCGTGCCAACATTCGCATCTTGGGGGTGCCAGAAGGAGAAGAGCGAGAACAAGAAATCGAAAACCTGTTTGAAACAATAATGGCAGAAAACTTTCCTAACTTGTTGAAGGAAACAGACATACAAGTCCAGGAAGCACAGAGTCCCAAACAAGATGAACCCCAAGAGGCCCACACCAAGACACATCATCATCAAAATGCAAAAGGTTCAAGACAAAGAGAGAATCTTAAAAGCAGCAAGAGAAAGGCAGCTAGTTACCTACAAGGGAGTTCCCATTAGGCTGTCAGCTGATTTCTCAAAAGAAACTTTGCAGGCCAGAAAGGAGTGGCAAGAAATATTCAGAGTGACGAAAAGCAAGAACCTACAACCAAAATTACTCTATCCTGCAAAGCTGTCATTTAGAATCGATGGACATATAAAAACTTTTCCAGACAAGAAAAAATTAAAGGAGTTCATCACTACCAAACCGTTATTATATGAAATGATGAAGGGTCTTTTTGAAGAAAAAGATAAAATGTATGAACAAACATAATGGCAATGAATACATATCTATCAACAATGAAATCTACAAACAAAATGAACAGGTAGAACAGAAACATTCTCATAGATACAGAGAACATTTTGTTGGTTGCCAGATGGGAAAGGGGTTGGGGGAATGGATGAAAAAGGTGAAGGGATTAAGAAGCACAAATCCCTTGCTAGACTGACAAACCTCAAAGGGAAAGGGGTTGGGGGGGTGGGAACAAATAAACCAAAGAACTTATATGCATAACCAATGGACACAGACAATAGTGTGGGAAAAGGTGGGAGGGGGGAGGGGGGGGTCAATGGGGGAAAAATGTGGAACATCTGTAATACATTCCACATCCAACAATAAAGATTTTTTAAAAAAAATACTGAATATCAACTGTAATTAGAAAATTAAAAATAAAATTTTAAAAAAGATCATAGGAGACTATAAAACAATTTTGTCAGTAGCAACAACAAAAACCAGGAAGAAAGAAATAAAAAATGGGGTTTAAATTATGATTTCTCTTAGTACTCATGGGATTAAAAAGCAACGTTCTCGGAGCACTGTGTGAAGTACAGGCAGAGAGGGAGTTTCCGAAGCTGGAGGAACAAGTTGGGAGAGCAGAGGCTGTTCCCGGACCCCAGGACTTTGATCTGCCCAGAAGCAAAACCAAGGACACAGCTCCTCCCTCTCCAGGAAACGAAACCAGCTCCTCCCTCTCCAGGAAAGGAAACGAAGAGCCGTGCAGACGCAGCAGCAGAAGACAGGCTAACAGTCTCCTGCAGACAGCTCCGCGGCCAGTGGCTCTCCTGTCCCTACCAGAGCGTCAAGATGCAGCTGAGAGACACCCAGGCCAGGTTTCTGGACAAGTTCATCGAAGAGAACCTCCTGCCGGACACGCCTTTCCGCCTTCAGGTCAGACAAGCCATCCACCACATCTGCGGTTTCCTGAAGGAGGAGTGTTTCCAGGGTGCCCCCCACCGGGTTCGGGTGTCCAAGGTGGTGAAGGGCGGCTCCTCGGGCAAAGGCACGACCCTCAGAGGCCGGTCTGATGCTGACCTCGTCGTCTTCCTCAGCCCACTCACAAGTTTCCAGGAGCAGTTTGATCGCCGAGGAGAGTTCATCCAGGAAATTAAGAAACAGCTACAAGCCTTTCAAAGAGAGACAGGGGAGAATTTTGAGATCCGGGATTCTGGATGGCAGAACCCCCGCGTGCTCAGCTTCGTGTTCAGCTCCCCCATGCTCAACGACAGCGTGGAGTTCGATGTGTTGCCAGCCTTCGATGTCCTGGGTCAGTTGACAGGACCCCCTGACCCCAAAATCTACGTCCAGCTCATTGACGAGTGCACACGCCTGGGGAAAGAGGGCGAGTTCTCCCCCTGCTTCACCGAGCTGCAGCGAGACTTCCTGAAGCAGCGCCCCACCAAGCTCAAGAGCCTCATCCGCCTGGTCAAGCACTGGTACCAAGTGTGTAAGGAGAAGCTGGGGAAGCCCCTGCCCCCGCAGTATGCCCTGGAGCTGCTGACAGTCTATGCTTGGGAGCGTGGAAGCAACAGAAGTGAGTTCAGCACAGCTCAGGGCTTTCGGACTGTCTTGGAATTAGTCATGAACTACCGGATGCTTTGCATCTACTGGTCAAAGTATTATAATTTTGAAAATCCTGTTATTGGCGCATACCTGAGGAAGCAGCTCCAGAAACCCAGGCCTGTGATTCTGGATCCAGCTGACCCTACAGGAAACGTTGCTGGTGGACACCCACAGAGTTGGCCGCGGCTGGCACAAGAGGCTCTCGCCTGGTTGAGTTACCCATGCTTCAAGAATTGGGATGGGTCTCCAGTGGGCTCCTGGAACATATAGCTCTATGAAGAAAGACAAGATAACTTGATGACCTGTGATTGCAGGACATATGATTATGGACAGTACCCTGAATACCCTCAGACCCACAAAAACACCCAAGCAGAAGAGACCTGGTCATGCAGCATCCTCTGAACACCAGTGCATCTTAGGTGACACAGCTCCAGTGTCACCTGAGTCAGCCTCCTCCTTTGCAGGGGGCGAACGTTGATTCCGAGAGGATGGAGGACGGCTCCGAGCCAGCCGTGAGTAGGATAGGCGGAGAACCAAAATCCAGGTCTCCTGACCCAGCCCTTCTCCCTGTTCTGTGCTTCTCTGCTTTCATAGATAGCATTTTCCCGCAGCCCCGCCCACCCCCCTCTTCTCAGACCACAAAAGAAATATAGACAAAAGAGGGAAACCCCAGCCTTGACTTTCTTCTGTGTACCTGGAGGGAGGGTTTTGGTCCAATTTATCATCGCTTGCAATAAAAATAATAGCAAAAAAAGAATAAATTGTCAAGTGTCCACCTTGAGAAAAACAATACATGTTTCAAGAAGAGAGAAGAGAATTTTCCTCTCTCTGAAGAAACAGTGAATTCGAGGGAGTCTGCAGGAAGAGGCCAGGGATCAGAGAACCTAGATTCTTCTGTCCTCTCCATTGTTACTCTCCATGTCCCTGTGCAGTTCACCTGGGCTCTCCAAGGCCCTACCTTCCTCATGTGTAAGATGGGGATAAGGGCATTTATTCAGCCTATCTCCCAGGCTTATGTTGGAGCTCGTGGAAACGCATTTTGTAAAGGGAAAAGTATTATTCAAATGTAATATGTTTACAATTTTGTTTTGTTAATCCTCACAGAGGATATTTTTTCATTGATTTTTTACATAGAGTGGAAGAGAGGGAGGGAGGGAGGGAGGGAGGGAGGGAGGGAGAGAGAGAGAGAGAGAGAGAGAGAGAGAGAGAGATCAATACATCTGATTGGTTGCCTCCTGTTGGGGTCAGGGATCAAACCTGCAACCTAGGTATGTGTCCTTTACCAGGAATTGTACCCCAACCCTTCCATCTGCAGGCTGATGCTCTCTAACTGCTGAGCCAAACTGGCCAGGGCTGTTTACAGTTTTTATAGAAGTCATCACTATTCTGAAAAACTATCAAGCCAAAATGTGTATCTATCACCTTGTTTCTTAAGAAGAAATTGACACAAAATAATTACTTTTACAATTCATATATACATGAATCTGTTATGCAACATAAACATGAGCAGTGTTAAGACTGCATACTACACACTTGCTACTGATTAATTGAAAGCAACCATTCCTATCACTTCACACCTGTCAGAGTGGCCACCATCAACAAATCATCAAACAAGTGCTGGAGAGGGTGTGGAGAAAAGGGGACTCTAGTACACTGCTGGTGGGAATGTACACTGGTGCAGCCACTATGGAAAATGCTATGGTGTTACCTCAAAAAGTTAAAAATTGAACTGCCATTTGACCCAGTGATCCCACTTCTATAAATATACCCTAAGAAGCCTGAAACACCAATCAGAAAGAATATATGTACCCCTATGTTCTGAACAGCACTATTTACAATAGCTAAGATCTGGAAACAGCCCAAGTGTCCATCAGTAGATGAGTGGATGAAAAAGCTGTTGTACATGTACACAATGGAATACTATGCAGCTGTAAGAAAGAAAGATCTCTTATCCTTTGAGATGGCATGGAGGGACCTGTAGAGTATTGTGGTAAGCGAAACAAGCCAAGCAGAGAAAGACAAATATCACATGATCTCACTTATTTGTGGAATATAATAAACTAAACAAACTGATGAACAAAATTGACCCACAGATATAGAGGTGGGGTACAGACTGACTAATCTCAGAAGACGGGGTATGTGGGGGGGAGATAAACCACAGAACTTATATGCATGTACGCATAACCAGTGGACATAGACAACAAAGCTGGGGATGGGGCAGTGTGGGTGGGGAGGAGGATGTCAATGGGGAGAAAAGGAGAAACATCTGTAACAAAAACAAATTAATAAAATTAATTTTAAAAAATAAAATAAAATCAATCATTCCTAGAAAAAAGGAGGGACATCTATAATACTTTCAACAATAAAGACAAATATAAACATAATAACAAATAATAAAAGCAATCATTTGTGCTAAATTGAACATTTTATCCAAGATTCTCTTAGATTTCTCTTTGTTTTACATACCACCCTTCCCCTAACCCAGTTTTACCAACTTAAAAACCCTCTTTTAACAATCATCTCAATTCTCTTTTGATAAAATCTGGCAGTTTTAGCTTGCCAATAGCCATCTACACCTAGATGACAGAGATTAACTTGATTTCAAATCCACTTGTTCCTTGCAACTTTCTCCTGGACTTCAAAGCAGCTTTGTGGTTTGTCTTGCAGAAAATCAGTGGTTGGGAAATGAAAAGCAGCTCTTATTTACCTCCTGCCTACTGAAGGTCATTCTCAGTAGCATCTGTGTGAGAGCCACAGCCATTTTGCTTGGCAGAGGGGAGAAGTAAATTGATTACATAGTCAAAAGTCACAATAAGGAGAGAGTGATGCCCATTTTAAATAGATAGGATCACATCACATGTAAATATATTAATAAGAATAAGTAGAGTATTGGAGTATTGGTGTTTGGAGTATAATATTAGAGTATTACTGATTGTGAGCCTGATTTTTTTTTTTTTTTTTTTTTGAAAAGCTGTGTCTAGACTTATTATGGTGGACAAACTTTATAGGTAGTTTATCACATTCTCTGATAGGTGCCTGAAAAGTTATTTGAACTTAGTAGGCTTTAAGGATTATGACTAATAAAGGGCATTAATAAATTAGTGTGGGTGGGTATCTATTTCCACAGAGATAAGTACTGCAGTGATGGTCAGGGATGCTGGCATTGCTCACTCAGGTTTTGGATCAGTCTCTTTACAAAGGGTGATGACACCTGAAACACCAATGAGAAAGAATATATGCACCTCTATGTTCATAGCAGTTATATTTACAATAGCTATGATCTGGAAACAACTCAAGTGCCCATCCACAGATGAGTGGATAAAAAAGCTCTGGTACATTTATACAATGGACCAATATGCAACTGTAAGAAAGATCTCTTACCCTTTGAGACAACACAGAGGGACCTGGAGAGGATTATGCTGAGTGAAACAAGCCAATCAGAGAAAGACAAATACCACATGATCTCACTTATTTACAGAACATCATGAACAAAATAAGCTGTGGACCAAAACAGATCCAGAGTCATGGAAGTAGGGAACAGATTAATAAACCACAGAGGGATGGGGGCTGGGAGGGGTGGGAAAGAGATAAACCAAAGAACTTATATGCATATATGCACAACCAATGGACACAGACATTAGGCTGGGGAAAGCAGGAGGGAGTGGGGAGGAGGAACACAGTGGGAAATAAAGAACATGTGTAATACTTTCAACAATAAAAGAGGAGGTGATGACACAGTCTAACCCTGCCCTATCATATGCATTGCTTAGCTCTCAATACTCTTTATATTCCAAGGCCATCTTTTGAACCAGTTTTGGAAAAGAGACCTAAAAACAAATACATTCCCCAATGCCATCAAGTCAAAACTATGCTTTCCATAGTTTATGGCTGTGCTTCAAAGTTAAGACTTTGTTCTTCCTCTGTGATGTAGCCCGTGGGTTATGTCAGGTAGTAAAGTTTTCATAGGATTTTGGGGGGGTATTAAAAATCCCTGTTTGCTTGGCTGATGTGGCTCAGTGGATTGAGTGTCATCCCTGGACTGGGAGGTCCCAGATCTATTCTTGGTCAGGGCACATGCCTGTGCTACAGAACTCAGTCCCAGTGGAGAGGGTGCAGGAGGCAGCCAATCAATGTATCTTGTTCACATCGATGTTTCTATCTCTCCCTTCCTCTCTCTCTAAAAAATCAATAAAAACATTTTTTAAAAATCCCTGCCAATCACAACTCCTCTCCACTAAGCTCCCAAATGAAATTTATACACTAGGGATTCCAAAATGGTGGTGGATTGAATGGAAGCTACACAGACCATCTCCCAGGGCTAAACTGGAATCACAATGAAAATAAAGACAAATCGTTGGGGAAAAGCAACAGAAAAGAAGCTTGTGAGGACTATATAACCAGGGACACTGAATTCATCCTAGTAGGATTGTGGAGGTGCAAGAGGGAGGCTGGGAATCCATGGACAGCAGTGGTCTTAGCTGTGAGCAGTGCCCTCAGGGTTATAATCCCAAGGCGGCTCCACAGCTCAGAGGGCAGGACAGAGCACTAAATTAGCTACAACCACTCATCTTGGGTTCTGGGAGAGGGAGGTCAGACTGGAATTCAACTCTGTGGGGACACTTGGGATTTGGAGGGCGCTTAGAGCTTTTGCTGAGTTGTGGTCACACAGGACAATCACCATCTTACTCCTTCCCAGGGCTCTGGGGAGAGGCAGCGACCCCTCCCTTGGAGATTCAAACCCACCCAGGTACGCCAAAGAAATGCAAATTGAGGCCCATTAACAACCAGCATCTTCCAAACCCTTGGGAAATCCTCTTACACTGAACATGTGAGGGAGTTTTTCATTCAACTGAGAACCCAAGGCTCTTCAAGTAACCATGACAAATAGCCTCCAGGCAAAAAGCTAGAGGATACCTAAACTACTCCTGGGCTTGCAAATCTACCCAGGAAAGTAAGACTTGACAGTGGTGTTTAACATGGGTCCTCTCACGCTCATTCAAACCCAGTAGAGGGAGTCACAAACAGCAGAACACCAACACCCGCAGGGAACATTTGGCAGGTTCCAAAACCCACTGAGATAACCAAAATGGTGAAACAAGAAACAAATCTCAAATGATAGAACAAGAGACATCTACAAAAGATGAGATCAATGAAATACAGTTAAGTAACTTATCAGAGGTAGAATCCAGAGTCATGATCTTGAGGAAGCTCAACAGCATGAGTAAGGACATCAGCACCATGAGTAAAGATATAGAAGCATTGAAAATCAACCAATTGAAATGAAAAACCACCAAGAATAAATGAAAAATGACATAGCAGAAATAAAGAACACATTGAAGGACTAAACAGCAGAGTAGAGGAAGCTGAGGACCAGGTCAATGTATTAGAAGACAGGATAGAAAAAAATCAACCAATCAAAAAACCAAAAGGAAAAAACAATTAAGAAACAGGAAGACAGCTTAAGAGAAATGTGGGACAACTGGAAACATAATAATATTAGCATCATAGGAGTCCCCAAAGAAAAAGAAAATGAGCAAGGGTCAGGACATATATTTGAAGAAATAGTGACAGAAAACTTTTCTAACTGGATGAAGGAAGGAGGATTCAAGTTCAAGAAACACAGAGAGCCCCAAGTAAGAAGAACCCAAACAGGCACACACAACACACA